CTCACACCCACATCCACACCCACACCACCCACACCCACACCCACACCACCCACACCGACACCCACACCCACACCACCCACACCCACACCCACACCCGCACCCGCACCCACACCGACACCCACACCCATACCACTCACACCCACCTACACCCCACACCACCCTCCTTGTCTCTACAGAATACAATAATATGTTTTGATAGTATCTCATTTCTATTACATCCGATAACTTTCTGTCATTTTTTTGACAGTATTGACGTGATCAAATGAAAAAAAAATCGGATATCATGAAACATGTTCTCTATACATTCAACATGTTTATAGACTTTAGATTAGTTTACTTGAAAAAAAATGCAATATTTCCATTTTTAGTATGGTATGCTCACAAAATATCTTATGACCAAATTATTAAATAAATGATTAACAGATTCCATACAACGCTGATGTGCATTATTATTTTGATGGAAATTTTTCTTATTGAATATTCCAACGGGTACTTTCATTTATATGAGACGGTGAATGCGGTAGAAAATCAAGTAAATCGTTATTATGATTGTTTATATAGGTTGACATCAACATCATCTAATTTAGAAATGACATTACAACAATATTGTATTCGTCCCGATGATAATGATTTGAGAAGAGAAAGATCGATAAATAAATCAAAGGCATTAGGTAAGCAATATACATTTTTTCAACTTCGTCAGTTGAATGTTACTGGAAAAGATCTTTATGAATGGTCCGCCCCAATTGATACAATCGAACATTATGAATTATATAGTATGAATTCATCTGCCCAAAATGGAATTTATTATAATTGTTCATCATCATTTTGGTTTGGACCATCTTGTGAATATACATTGGGTTCATTGGACTCATTTACTAAAATTGTCCAAGAGCGATTTCGATCTCGAATTAGTCTAATAACGCTTAACGGATATGCAGATGTTTTGAAAATGACAAATGGGACATGTTACATCCATTTAAAATGTAATCGTGGTCCATCGCCGATGTGTCTTGATTGGAGAGAAATATGTGACAGAAAATGTGATTGTTTAGACAATTGCAATGACGAAGAACAGTGTTTTAAATTGGAAATAAATGAATGTGAAAAAGATCAATATCGTTGTAACAATGGAATGTGCATTTCGCAAGAATTATTTCGTGATCGTAATAAATTTATTGATTGTATCGACGCATCAGATGAAACATTTTATGATCGTGAAGCACTAGGGTTAAACTGCTTTACAAATCCAGCGTTTGATTGCGATACATTAACTTGTAGTTGGTTTCATTCCTTTTCATGTGGCAATGGGCAGTGTTCGACACATCATCCGGCACAACCTTATTTGTCTCTCTGTCAAAATGGACGGGATCTATTGCATGCCCAAGCCATATTTATGCACGATGTGTCGTCTGAATTGTCAGAAGAATGTTGGTTAGCACTCATTTGCGCATTGAGTCTGGAATATATAGTTGATGTTGACTGTGTCTATGCTCGATCAGTTCAACTTGTATGTCCGTCGCGTTTTATCTTTCCATCTTGGCCAACTTTATTCAATGATATTCGATTTATTTACGAACTAAATAATACTAACATCATTGTACCAAGTTATATTTGTTATAATGCTAAATGGTGCGATAAATTTTTGAATGCAACCTTCTTCATTAATGAATCGGCATGTAAATATCTTTATGAATTTCCTTTCTTTGATACTGAACGGTTGATTAATGATAATTTCTACGATGACGTTGAGTTATTTTTCAAACATTGGTGCCCATTGCCTGAGTTAATGATAACCAATAATGATATTTGCTCCCATCCAGCTCTTTTTCATTGTGCAGGTACTTCAGAATGTGTATCAAAATACCGTTTGGTAGATAAAAACGCTGATTGTTATCAATCATATGATGAGTTATTTAATGAAAGTTGTTCTTTGAATTTATCACATCGATTTTATTGTCCATCAGACAAGAAATGTATACCACAAGTACAGCTAGAAGATGGCACGGCAGATTGTTCAGGACAAGAAGATGAATTGAGTGTACACCGTGATTGCATTTTAAATAAACAATGTGAGAATGAAAAAATTATCTTTTCAAAAATTTGTAATGGTTTCACAGAAATGCCACCGATTCAAATTGGTGATCAAAATGAAACTGACGAAACAAATTGTGAATATTGGCCATGTGTTACACCATATACACTGTGTGATAAAGTATGGAATTGTTATAATGGTGCTGATGAATTAAACTGTTCGTACATGATTTATTCCTATAATTGTAAAGCTGATGAATATCATTGTATTCGAGTCGATAACATTACACAAGGAATGCAAATTGATAACCATATTTCTCAGGACTGTTTACCAATGAAATATGCAGGTGACAAGAAAATCAATTGTTTAGGATCGATAGATGAACGAGATTATTGCCACTCGAATTATCCAAATGAAGCAAATCGACGATATCGTTGTTGGAACGATACAACATGTATTGATATCAATCGTCTATGCGATTGTACAAGTGACTGTCCACTTGAAGACGACGAAGCTATTTGTTCTTGGTTACGTGATGGATTGAATGCATGTAAGCCTAATTATTTTACATGTTCTAATAGCAAGACAGTTTTAAGAGAAAATATGTGTAATGTTGAAAAGGCTTGCAGTAAAAAAGAAGAAGCATTGATCTGTGATTTGAGAGAATGGAATAAACCAGAACGAAAGTATTTTTCTCTTGGAAACTATTCTTATCGATATCCAGGCATATCAATGCAAAATAATGAGTGCCCGTCGACTACAACAAAAGCATTGCTAAACAAAAAACCGCAACATGAGCAAAACAATGATTTGCTGTTACAATGATATTGCAATCAAGGGGTATTAGTTAATTCATTTGATCGGAAATATTATTGTTTTTGCTCCCCGGCTTATTATGGTGATCGATGCCAATATCAAAATGAATTTATTGCTTTAATTTTGAATGTTCGACGAAAATCAGCCCGTGATCATTTATTTGTATTTCGTATTATCATTGTTTTACTTAATGAAAAGAAGGATTTCTTATTTCAAGAACAAATTTTGTATGTATCCTCTTGTAAAAAAAGGTATCAAATGTATTTACTTTATCCTGATCGACCAAAATTAAAAGATGAAAATTATTCCATTCATCTTGATATTTATGCTATTAATCGTTTGCACAATACGATTCAATTTCGATCAAGTTTCCATCATAAAATTCCATTTACATTTTTACCAGTTAATCGGCTTGTTGTTAGTTTGGCTATACCGGAAACACAAGCACAAGCAAAATCATGTGGTAATATTCAGTGTCAAAATGGAAAATGCTATCGGTATGAAAATCTCAATCAATATTACTGTCGCTGTAGTCACGGTTGGTTTGGGGAATTCTGTCAGTTTCGTCATGAATGTAATTGTTCTCCACAATCGATCTGTACGGAAACAGGTTGTGTATGTCCTTTAGGAAAATCTGGTTCATTGTGTTATGTTCCTGAAATAATATCTTGTAAAGATATCGTTTGTCAACATGGTGGAACTTGTATACCGCATGGCCAACGATTACTGGAAAAGGATTTTCTCTGTATTTGTTCAGAAGAATATGAAGGTATATTTTGCGAAAAACGTCGAATGCGTATTAACATTGCTTTCAACAACATTCCAATACCATCTACAATACTTATTCATTATTTCATCTCACGAAACTCTCGAAACCCAGATCGTTTAACAGAATTCAAGCGAATCTCTGTATATGAAAATGTTGCTATCTTCTATCCGTCTATGCGATATGATATGGCTTTTGTTCAGTTGGACAATAATTATTATCTCATTTTCCAAGATTCAATGTCTGCTTTTCAAGATGTAAGCACGACTGTTATTCCGTCAAATAGATGCCCATATATTGAGGAACTACTTGATCGCACTACGTTCCTGTTTCATCCACTAAAACGTATCAAATATTACCATTTAGTATGCCGAAATAATATTAATCTTCGGTGTTTTTATGATCCAACACAAATATGTTTATGTACAAAAAGCCATTTGGCGAATTGTTTTGACTTCAATCATACTGACACAAGTTTATGTGATGAGAATAACTATTGTGAAAATAATGGACAATGTTATGTTAATGATTTGACATGTCCAACAAAATCTATCTGTGTATGTCAAGAATGTTATTATGGTACATTGTGTCAGTTTACTACTTCAGGTACTGTTCTATCATTAGATTCTATTATTGGTTATCATATACGATCACATTTATCATTTTTTAAACAATCTTTTATCAGTAAATTAAGCACAGGAATTACAATATTAATGCTTGTAGTAGGTATTATCGGCAATCTTCTATCAATAATGACATTTTCACGAAAGAAAACACTTGAAGTTGGCTGCGGTATCTATCTATTGTCATCTTCAATTCTGTCATTTTTGACAATGAATATATTTGCATACAAATTTTGGAGTTTACTTGTAACACAAATGTCATTAATAACGAATGACATATTTTTACGTGTAAATTGTAAAATAATTGATTTTTTATTGAGATTTTTACCGACAACCATCGAATGGTTGAATGCATGTGTTGCCATTGAACGAGCTCTTAATATAACATTCGGTATTCATTTTAACAGAGCAAAAAGTAAAGTTTGGGCAAAATTTACAACTATTATAGTTGTATTAATCAATATTGTTAGTGCTATACACGATCCAATCAATCGACGATTGCTTGAAGATACTGAAGAGCAACATATCTGGTGTATTGTTAGTTACACACATTCATCATGGTTGACTATCTATAATAACACTGTGAACATCATTCATTTCATTGTACCATTTGGAATTAATTTCACATCAGCTTTTGTTATTATTGTGATTACAGCACGCCAACGGTCTGCTATTCGTAAGAATCAAACATATGGTGAACATTTGAGAGAACAATTTCAGCAACATAAACATTTACTTATTAGTTCATCTATCCTTGTTATTTTAGCTCAACCAAGACTTATTATTTCGTTTTTCTCAGGTTGTGTAAAATCAGCTCGTGATCCATGGTTGTTCTTGGTGGCGTATTACATTTCATTCATCCCATTAGTTTTAACATTTCTGATATTTGTGATACCATCTCAAACATATAGAACTGAGTTGGGTACATCATTGAAATATTATCGTGCAGCAATTCGCTCTTATTTTCATACGGAATATATGTCGCGGGTTTTCTTTTCGTATCTCAAGTAGACAAGAATTTTGCAAAACATGTGCTGTTTGGAATTGAACTCTGTTGTCAGTTCAGTTCGATTTATTTACCTCTTATTTCTCGACACGTTGCGGTTTTCGTTGTTTTCTCTTTTCTTTTGTTCTTCTCTCTACCGATGGTCTTTTTTTGGTTTCTTCTTTCTTATCTCTCGGTATTCTCGACCGAAATGCAACTAGTAAAGTTAGATTTGGTTCATCACGATTCCTCTTGTCTAAATCCTTCGCTCGGCATTCAGAGCCAGTATGTGACATATGTATGCACTTAATAACACAACCTTCCTGACGTTTAAATGTGCATGAAAAAAACTGATCGTATAACCGCTGAGAAATCTGAACTCCAAATGTGTACATGACCATAACAGTCATTTCTATTGTTCTTTGCCATGTGCATGTGCAAATAATTCGTTTTCTAAACATTCTTACGTTCAGTTTTCTCGCACATGATTATGAATGCTCAAAAGTTTGGAATTTGACACGTGTTCTGCTCAACAATTTATTCTTATGATTATAGGACTAATGAAGGAACATATTTAGGTGTTCAAGCAGTTTAGACCAGAGACCGTCATAGGGTAGTTTTTTTTTGCCCTGCCCTGCCCTGCCCTGCCCTGAGGGCAGGGCAGGGCGTCTAAGCTAAGTAAGCCTAGTATAAGATCTAAAATCTTCATAAAAATTATTTGATTGCTTTCGAATTTTATACTCATACTTTATGTTATTTCGAAAGTGCCACAATCAAAGTTATTATGTAATTAAACACCATCATGTACCAGAAAGAAGTACTGTTGTACGAGCTTCAGAAATCATATCATTTTAATGAACTTCTTATGTTTAAAAATTGAATGAAAATACTACTACTAGAATTAGATTATTCGGTTTTCAACCGTTTTCAATAATGATATGGTTGAATGATGTATTTTTGAAAGTGAAACTTAAAAAATTCATTTTTTCTGAACTCCTTACTACGACAAACAGTACGTGTAATATTAAGTCGATCTTTGACATATCATGTTTCAACATACGATAATAATTGCTTGTTCAAGGTATAAACTAACATAGCAATAAATAAAACTCATGTCCCATTTCCATGAAATAAAAAGTGATGGCTTTCTATTATGAAAGTTCATGTAACCCTACCAATACTCGCCTTCCATTCCTCGCCAAGTTTTTTCCTCGCATTCACATATAGAACCAAACATTTAAA